TGACTTCCAGTGTTCTGCAATTTGGGTTCATCCACTGGGCCCACCAAAAGTCCCATCCCTGTAAGCCACTATCTTTCCTACTCTCAGCAGCCATTAAATGCCAAAATTTCCTTAGGTTGCATTAGGATTACTTACCCACTTCCCCATTTCTATACTGTGATTTTGTGTGGTTTGAGCTTGCAGAGGACTTGTACATGCGGTCACCATTTCTGAGAGGTCATATGAGTATCTGACCAGCTGTCAGGAGGAGTCTCTTTCGTTTTGGTCATCCACCTCATCTGGCTTTTACAGTCTTTCATCATCTCATCCTAAGGTTCTGATAACATGATTATTTTAATGTAATTTTCACTCACACAAAGTAAACTCTGTTGGTACTCCTTCCTATTAGAATCACTTGCAGAAATGAAACCTTAGTACTATAGAATATTGGAACTTTAAGTACATCAATCCATGAGAGTCTGACACCAAGTACAAGTTTAAAGATTCTAGAATATTTTTTTAATTCCCTTATATTTTAATTGTAAGAAACGTGAAGTTTCATTAACACAGTTTCATGCATGTGTATCATTCCCTAAGATATTCTTACTTTGGCTCCTTTTTTATTCTGCTTTATATTAATGGTAATGGGTCAATCATTTAGTGATCTTAATGACCATGTTAGGTTTGATTTATATTGCCATTTCCTTCGCTATAGATTGTGAGTTGAAGCAGAGTCCATATTACAGATGATAGTTAGGAATAGACCTGAGGGCATCATGGAATGGTTGTTTTAAATTAAATGTAGGCACCTTAAAATGATAGATTTATTAATATGTAAAATTGTGTCCTTTATCTTTATATGCAGTTTATTAATATCACCTTTATTTTTCTTAGTAAAAATATTATTTTGCTCACCAATTTCTAAGAACAAACATAAATATGTGCATGTACATACATGAAAATGTTCACACAGAATTTATTTTGCTGATACATTTTAGCTGTATATGCAGGAATGGATACAGCTGCGTCTTGAAGCTGTGATTACTTAGCAAATGAATTCAAGAACTAAAATATTTACCTCTTAAGGTGGCCACCCTATGGGGGACCCTTCTCTGAGATGATGGATCCAAGCCACAGGGTGAAGACCCTGGGGCTTGCATGTCTGGTAACAAGCTGTTAATTTAAAAATTCAGAAGGTTTTTATACATTACAAGAAACTGGCAGTCATGTGTGGCTTGGCAGTTAGATAAAAAGATTTAGGGCACAATTAGACAAGAAACAGGACATACAGCTTTTAGCTGGTGCCAGCTAGGGGCTGTATGTAAAGCAGGATGCTTGAAATTTACTCAGGGTTACCAGTGCCTATCTGGTTATTTATTGGCCACAATGTTTTCTTTCTTAGGGCTAAAATATAGCAAACTTTTAGCTTTTGGCCCAGGAGTAAACCTTTAACCTTGCCTATTCTTTTAGCTAGTGATAGCTAAGAGTTATTTGTTCAGGACAAGGAGGTGGGCTAAGGTCTGTTGACCAAGATGCTTTCCCTCAGAGCAAGGAACCTAAACTTTCCGCCCAGCCACTTTTCTCCTGCTAGTCCTGCAGTGTTCTGTGAGACAGGGATTTGAGTGCTGCTATTTTTAGTGCCCCTCCCTTCAGCAGAGACTGTAGCCTGATCTTAAAGTTTCAGATCCATATCATCCTAAAGCATGCCATCCTGGTTTCCTACAACCTCTAGGATTCATAGAAGAGCTTTCTTTGAGTAAAGCAGTTGGTTTTCACAAGAATGAATTTCACCTATAACTTCAATGGTATGTTACAGTGAGTAATATTTTGACATTTTAAAATTTGACCCTCCTCATGATCATTTGAGATATACAGCTAAGCTATCTATGAACATTTTTTTAAAGTTTAAGTCAAATTTCTTGCAGAAAAAAAGTTTCCTCAAATAAATGTCACTGATTAAATGATTTGTAAATAAGTCTCAAAACTAAATTATATTCATACAGTTGTTTCTACATTTCAGCATGTGTGCTTGTCTCCAATTTTAATAAGTAGGAGATTGATTCATAACCTTTTGATTCTTCAACATTTACTCTGATGAATTTATCTAGTTGCTTCAATCACATTTGAAACCTTTTAAAAATTTTTAATTGTTTATTTAATAACCATATAATTAGAAGCATTTCATTACAACAGCAATGACATATTCAATAACAATTTCCAGAGCTAAGATGCATCTCTTTCAAAATTGGCTATAAATTTTTAGGTTTTACAGTTGAATTAATATAATATTGTACTCCATATAAACCCCTGGAGAGAAGCCTATGGGTAGGAGAGCACACATTTGAAATTTTAATAGAGGCTACAGCCTTCATGGTGAGAGAGTTTATCTAAAGACCACCTGTACTGAAACTCTCTGTGACCTAAGTATTCTTATTACCATGTTCAACTCCTACTGAGGAGTCAGTGTTTCTTACAACCACAGTTTAACATGTTTTATTTCTTTAATTACATCTTTTGCACAAATAAAATAGCAAAAAAAAAAAACCCACAAAAGAAAACCCTACCACAGAATGTCCATATTATGAAGTTCTGATTACATCTTAAAATGAATAATTCAAAGTGAAATTTCAACAGTTTCAACACAGTATCATGTGTAGTACTAGATACTGTCCCATAGTGCATTCTTTTTTTCGGACAATAGTTTAATTCATTTGGAATTCCAATCTATTTCTTACTTTGAAACAAAGTATAAATGTATCTAGAATTTTCAAGTACATCTGATGTACTCTTTTTCTATGGGTAGATAAGGAAGTATTCTGATCAATCGCTACAGACTACTTAGCCCAGTCTTATTCCATAAAAATACCAAACGTGGCCAGGTGTGGTGAAGCACGCCTTTAATCCCTGCACTTGGGAGGCAGAGGCAGGCAGATCTTTGTGATTTCAAGGCCAGCCCGGTCTACATAGTGAGTTCCAGGACAGCTGGGGCTACAAGGAGACCCTTCTCAAAAAATAAGACAAAAAAACCCCAAAATACCAAACATGATTAAAAATTATGATCTTTGTTTTATAACTAGGGTATGGTTTCAAAATGACTTTTTAAATATTTCTCTTCCAGAATCCCCTAGAAATTCATAAAGCCTAACCCTTCAAAGTTAAACAACTTCATTTCTCTAACACAAGAAGTGAGTGGTTTGAGGCTCAATACTTAAACTATAGCTATCTTAAAATGTTGAATAATTAATCCCCTTCTTAATTCTAAAACTAGGCCGTGTAAAAATATTCTAGTAATATGTTCTTAATGAAAATAAAATCAATCAAGACAAAGATAAGTGTGCACCAACTTGTTGATATTTAAATTGTATGAAACAACTTTTCTCATAATTGTAGATTTACATGAACACATTGTACTGTCACCTTCCTCTTTGAGAATCATGCAAAACCAGAGTGTTGTCAGTGAGTTCATTCTCCTGGGGCTTTCACAGAACCCAAACGTTGAGAAAATATTGTTTGCTATATTTTTGCTGGTCTACCTTGCAACTATTGGGGGCAATATGACAATTGTGGTGACCATCCTCTGCAGCCCTGCACTGCTGGGCTGCCCCATGTACTACTTCTTGTCTTTCCTGTCATTCCTGGATGCATGTATTTCTTCTGTTGTCACACCCAAGATGATTGTAGATTTTTTCTATGAGAAGAAGACCATCTCCTTTGAATGCTGCATGACTCAATTGTTTGCTGTCCACTTCTTCACTGGGGCAGAGGTGATTGTACTGGCAGCCATGGCCTATGACCGCTATGTGGCCATTTGCAAGCCCTTGCACTACTTTTACATCATGAACAGGAGACTCTGTGGCACTCTGGTGGGGGTAGCCTGGATAGGGGGCCTCTTGCACTCCACCCTACAGATTCTCTTCACTTTGCAGCTGCCCTTCTGTGGACCCAATTTTATTGATCATTTCCTATGTGACTTATTCCCATTACTGAAACTTGCCTGCACTGACACACACATTTTTGTCATTTTGGTGTTTGCCAACAGTGGGTCTATCTGCATCATCATCTTCTCCTTGTTACTTGTCTCCTATGGTGTCATCCTCTTCTCCCTGACAGCACAGAGCTCTTCAGGGCGACATAAAGCTCTTTCTACCTGTGGCTCCCATATTACTGTTGTGGTTTTATTTTTTGTTCCATGCTTATTAATATATGCACGCCCTACATCTGCATTTTCTTTTGAGAAAAATGTGTTTATATTCGCTGATGTCTTGACACCATTGCTTAATCCTATGGTCTATACTTTCAGAAATAAGGAAATGAAGAATTCCATCAAGAAAATTTGGAAGAGATTCATAGTGGATTCTGATCAATAATAAAATATCTCTGTTACACATCAGGGGCGATTGCTCTGTGGGAAAGATCACTTATTATGTAAACACAAGGGCCTTTGTTTGGATCCTTGCCACCCATATCCAAATTAACACATGTTAGAATACATGTGACAAAGTGCTGGAGAAGTAGAGACAAGTGGATCCCAGAGTCTCACTATATAGCTAATCCATCGGAGTAAAGAAAATTGAAGATTAAGTCTTTGATTCTCTTTACTCTTGCCTCAAGGAAAAATTGCACAGAGTAATAAATGAAGTTATTAAATGAATCTATATACATGTGCATATGCATTTGAAAAGACTCACATGTTCACACACATGCACACAAATACACACACACAAATACACACACACAAACACACGATACACGTACGCATACACACAACCCCAAATATATACTTAGATAACAATATAAGAGTAATGAATTAGTATTTGGTTAGTCAATTTACCCATTATAATGATGGAGATATCATTCTTTAGAGGCATTGCTACTGGGCATAGAAAATTCTATTAATTTCACAGTTTAAATTGGAACTTATTACTCAGAATTGTCATATGAAAACTAAAAATAGTTAATTATATACTCCATGAATCCAATTAATTATTAGAAGACTTTTAAATATTAGAATTCTTGCCATTCACACTATTTTATAAAATAAATTGTTGAGAAATAAGTATTTTTTGAAATTTTGAAAAGAAATGTCCTGAAACCATATCTAGTGAATATAAGTTTCCAAGCAACCGAGTGAGACATGAGGTCCTAGAGATGCAAAGAAAAGCACAGAACCTGAAATACATGTGTTCCTGTATCATTTGTCTTCATTTGTAAGTTTGGTTCATCAATATTCAATATACAGTGTGAGTAAAATATTGAATATTTTGACAGATATGATTGACAGCCTGCTTATGGATGAGTGTCTGCTGGGTCATGTGATTAACATATTTCAATGAGATTGATGAGCATTTTTCATAGTCAAATGCCCATTGGCATTTCTTAATCCCACACAACAAAAGGCAAGTCTTAGACATTACTGCACTTGGAACATCAGCCTTAAGATGCTGATAAAGTGAACATACTTTCACTCCCCTTACAGGGAGACTAGAAACCACAGTAACAAGATTTGAACTAGTTTATTTTGTATAGGGGCTTTTAAAATTATGTTCGTTGTATAGTCCAGGATATAGATGAAAAAGGGCAATGTTGAATATGTGAAGGGAGGATTTTCAAAACAGAATTTCTATTTTTTTAAGGCTTAACATTTTATTAAAAATTTTATATCAAAATGAAATGTAGTTACGGAAAGCAGTAATGGCATTATCTTATTTAGCATATCCAGCCAATCAGTGTCCAGTCATGCCCAACTCACACTGCATTAATCATCAATGGAATATAAATGGAATCCCAACTTTCACAGTCAGTGTCCCAAAGGGACAACATGCACTGGACTCATGAGATAGAGAAGTGATTCTTGCTTCTTCAATACCCAGAAATCTAATACATGGATCCATAATACAAAGACAAGAATTATAAATAAAAAATTTCACTTTTGTGAATATTCCTGACCTTGTAAATTTTAAGGGAATTTACTACACTGAAATATTTATGAGCAGATATCATTGAATTTAGACACATTTAATGCCACACTGTAATTCTGTTTTTCTCCATTCAGGAAGTCAAGTGAAATCTATAAGAAATTGACTTGGTATAGCATGGATTTCCCCTCATAACCACAGAACTGTGGTTAAACTGTTGTATGAAAATTGAGCACAATTGAACTGTGTATGAAAAATGCAAAATACAGCTACCATGGTTGTCTTTCTTAGTTTTACATGCCAGAGTGCATGTACATAGGCAATAAAAATATAAGTGAAACTACCTGATTGTTGTATAGTGTGTTGGAAATTGAGACTTGGGTCTAAAATATTATTGCAACAGTAGTGTGTGGATCACATCATCACATCAGACCAAACATGGAACAAAAGAACGGACATGCTAGTGTGCTTTTCTGATTCACTTTATGTGTCAAGCCATCTGTCTGTCTAATAGCAGCAGCATCATTGATATGCCCTTCCCCGCTTCCCCGCCAGATGGGGATTGTCATGATTACATAGTTAATTCATTCCTAGGAACTGGCTTGAGAAATGAAGCACTGATACCATTTGTTCATCCAACAGAATGTGTTTGTTCATTACTTTATGAAGCAGTTAATCCAATGTTTGAAATAAAACAATGAAATAAAACCTTTTTGTTACAATGTAGGAACCAACACAGATTCATTGTATTCTGTCATTCACTGAATTCAAACAAAAGTTTTATTATTTTTAAGCCCCAATGTCCCAATTGTGGCTTCTGACAATGATATACAAGGGGGAAAGAAATCATAATATTCAACAGAGAAATACTGAATACATTTACCTATTTTTCATTCTTACAGTTTAATAACTAGAAATTTTTTTTCTTTTTAAAACATTTTTATTAATTAATTAATTTTTTTT